TTACGGAAACGTGTGCTGATTTTATTCGGATTTAGATCCATTTTTATCTCTTTGCCCTTGTCTACAGTGTGCGAAGAACGCGAGTTCACCTTCTTGACGGTAAGGCTTATGTTAGATGTGTTGTCGAAATACTCATATTCATTGCACATGAGTACGTTACAAGTAAGGCACTGGTCAGTGGCATACTATCGTTGGCAGTTCCCAATCTGGAGGGAAAGGTTCAAGGACTCATTGACCGAGTTTGCCAAATAAATTCGCATGTCAGGGAAAATCTCCATTGTGGACAGGTTCAGTAACTTGTTTGCTTCATACGAAACAAGCCAATGGGTGCAGTCTCGTCTCGTGAAAATCTCGTACTTGTATGATTGGATTTGTTTACTCGGGTCTGGGCTGTTTGATTTGTGAGTACCGCCGAAGAAGAAGAGGGGCTGCCTCGTTGCTTGAAGCAAGAGACAAATCGGAGAACAAGATTGCATTGCCCCAAATAAAGTTTCGTGCCGCCAAAGCAAGAATTACGATCTGCAATCTGTTTGTAGTACCTGTAATACCTGCAAGAATGTGCAGTACATGTATCGTACTTTCTCTGTTGCTGTTTCAGTTGCCGTCATGTAGCTAAAGAAAGGTTCAGTAGAGAGGTTCTGCAAAACGAAAATTCGAATGAAGTTTCGCGACAGTCCTTGCGAAAGTGTGTACGAATTTTTGCACGAACTTTGCTTTCTGCACATTTTCGTAGTTTGCGCGGGCCAAGTGCACGTACGCCATGACCCGATCTCACGAAATTTCCTACGACAGTTGATTTCGCGTTCCCTGCAAGTTTCGCGTCCAAAGTTGCGAAAGTTCGTGCAAATTTTCGCACTTCATGATATAGAGCAAAAGTTTGTACGCATTCTCGTTTTGCAGAACCTCTCTAGTGACTCTTTTGTTTCATACAAGACAAGTCAATGAGTCGGTGTGGCTTAGAATCTTTCGCTGTAGAAGAAATCTATTGGTATGTCTATTGGAGAAATAATTGTATTCACTGGTTATAAACTAGGTTAAGACAAACTCACAGAATAAATACCATCGGTCCCTTGGTGTTCATCCTAAAGAGGTTCAACTGGATATCATTCAGACTCACCAAAAGATGTGTAAGATTTTATTATCATGGAGTGCCTTGTTTATCTCTCAGTATCAGTACCTCCAACCATAGCCTTGACCCTTTTATCCTCAGGATCAGTGTAGTTGTTGGAACGAGGTGTCGGACTCAGCAATGTATTTGTTTACATTTTAATACATGTTTATTGTTCCTCCTTTGCTGTGTTGTTCTAGAAAATCGTGGACTAACAGTTTGAAGTCATTGCACTACTTCCAAAAGTTGTATCGACATCAACAGGATTACCATTTCAGTGCAATATGATGATGGATGACCTTATCATGATAACCCATGATTGTAAACCATTATAAACACAGAATCAACAAAAACATCTGCGACACGCACCTGGCGCATGGCTACAATTCTCAAATAAATCTGATCGAGGGTGGGGAAATCTGAAAGGCAAGACAAATTTATGACAGAGTCATGAAATTCAGCAACAGCAACATGCACAGAATGACCTACGTATAAAGAGTATAACCACCACTACTCACATGTTCCCCGCAGAAGAACATGCATTATGCTAGTGCCATTTTCTGCAAGAAAAGGCTTGCACATCAATGCGTATAATACGGTATTGATATGATCAAGAGTACATAAACCTCTTGATATGATGTGAAGGCCATCATTTACATATTGATATACATGTAGGGCATTCCATTGATTGGTGACAGAAAAAAACAAAGAAATTATAGCAATAAAAACTGCTTTATGGCAGTTTTCTAAAAAAAGTTATTGTGTTCTAGTCCATGGACCCCGTCTAAAAAGTAAGAAATTACCGATATGTGATAGCTGAAAATTAAAATTTCACACAAAACCTCACAATAATCACACACAGAATGAAAAGCTACATGTAGAAGACCTTTTCCCCTCGTGATCCTCTTTCCTTTGCATGCATGACATGCATGTTGCCAATTGTTGGTGCAGTACAAGTCTAGTGTTGAAAGCAGCATTTCAAGTGTTGTGATTATTGTGAGGTTTTGTGTGAAATTTTAATTTTCAGCTATCACATATCGGTAATTTCTTACTTTTTAGACGGGGTCCATGGACTAGAACACAATAACTTTTTTTAGAAAACTGCCATAAAGCAGTTTTTATTGCTATAATATATATAGGTAGGCTTCGCGTAATTCGCGCTGTGCTTTGCCAGTAGAAAAATATTTTTAAATTAATTTTCATTCAAGCCGTAGACCCGGGTGCTCGAATCAGAAACGATTTGACAGGTGTGCAATTTCTCATCTGTAAATCTCAACAATGTCAGAATATACTTTTGGAGAGGCGATGGAACAGGGAAGAGAGTCTGGCTTGACCCACCCAGCAGGAATTCAGAACCTGGGTGCGCTACAACACAAGCTACAGTACGCAGTAAAATTGTCGTATTTCCTTCGGATTTTTTATTTGAAAATTGGGTGCTCGAATCAGAAACAGCGAACTCGTCAGATCGTCTCCGATTCAAGCACACGGGTCTGCCATCGTCTACGCTTGGTGTGGCAGTTGAGGGCAGGGAGTAGTAACTTACTACTTCATTTTTGAGAGCAAGATGGTCAGTGGAGCCGCAGATTCAGCAGGTCTTTGGCAGCACCGTACAGGAGACCCATATCCTCGAATCAAGGACCCAGCAAAAAGTGGGTCGCGAGTATTTCAAAAAGTGTTTACCGGGCAGCGCTGAAATTTGGCATACCGTTAGCAGGCCGTCTGTTGATGGTATTTGTGAAAATTAAACGAAATCGGAACAAGTTTAGGTACAATTTCAGGGTGTTTCTGTTTTGGTACCCTGTGTCTCATTCGAGCACCCGGGTCTACGAAGGTCAGTCGCTGGTGCAGTGGCGGAGCGTCTTGCAGTCATCTGGTCATATCATCCCCGGTCATGGCGTGCAAAGAAAACACTACCTGTACGAGTAGTGTAGCTCCAGGCTGGCCGCAGGCTGGCAATGGCGAGCGTAGTACTGCTGCGTCCGACAGTGTTTCGGAAAGTGCATGTTCTGAATCCGCTCCGCTCTGCGCAACTGCGACAAACAACGATGTACCGGAGGCAGTGCGCAGGTTGAAAGGTTTGCTAGTCGAGGAGTATATGAGCGCAACTGTGGACATGGGTGAAGGCATGATGGACGAAGGGCTGAGCGAGCCCAGCGTCTCTGAAGTACACGTCAGCATGATCATCCTCTCAAGGCCAGACCTTCGGGAACAGTTCAAGGAAGCGAGCTTCGATTCAACAGGCGATATGTGGCGTGTCGAGCATGTCTTCACGAAGGCAGCTGATAGCTTAGAGAACATCTTAAAGGGGAACTCCACGAAAAAATGAAAATTTGATAGCCTGTAGAGTTTCGGGCGCTGAGTCGAATGGTCTTGGTCCGAAGTCTCTACGAGAAAGCGTTCTTGAGATATTTCAATTTTAGCCACGCCCCATACCAATGTATGTGTGACGTCATTGTGGCATGGTGCGAAAATACTTGGATTTTGAGTCTCACTTTCTTCAGGACGAAAGTCAATTCAGAAAGTAGTTTGCCAAGTCGCCCGAGCCGCTGCAATGCCAAATTGTTGTGTTGTTGGTTGTGCCAGTATCATATCATCCTCCTGGGGTTAGTTTTCTCAGATTCCCAAAGGATGGAGACCTGGCAAAGCGCCGAGATGTTGCAATGCGTCGTGAAAATTTCAAGCCTATTTTCGCAGCACGAGCAATGTTTGCTCGCTGCATTTATGATCCAGAGGGACTTGAGAGCTGAGTTTTGACGAGTACGCCGTCCAGGAAAGCCCTCATCAGTGTACCAGTGCCCTCCGAACCGTGAGCCTCCAGCAAAGCGAACTCAACAAGCTGCAACTGAGAAAGCAGGGCGAGATACGTTCCATCAGGATCAGAAGAGTACATCACCCCATCAACTCCGACTGCAGCTAGCTGATGAACGATATTACCCCAGTAACTTTGCGCATACCAGTACTCAAACTGTGCACATCTGTCATCAACTGGGACGCAAACAGACAGACCCCCAGCAAGTACGAAGGTTACAGAACTGTTTGCTTGCGATGTGCAGGCAGCATGCACGACGAACTGTCTCACCAATCCTGCCAAACTGAACCAGTGTAAGTTGATTGCGTGGATATGTCTCTATTTATAACAGCTACCCTACTTCTAGGCATGGTTGCATGAATACCATATCACTCAGAGCAGTTGTTAGAAGTCTGGACAGCCTAGGAATAGTGCAAGTAAAGTGAAACAAAAATTTATTACACTCCGAGTTCCACGCTTGCGGGATCACCAGGCCAAAAAATCTAATTTCGAACAAGGAATGGGTTCTGGTTGTATGCGAAAGAAAAGTAAGTGAAGACCTATTGTGCAAGGAATACAGTGGGAACTACACATATTATACACATGCACTCACACCTTCACCCACATGCGCGCGCGTGTGTGCGTGCACACACACAAACACAACACACACACATACGCACCCACATACTCAATCGCACGCACGCTAGCCTAAGGATAGTACATACCGTATATTCTCTATTATAAGCACAGGTCTCCATTACTAGCACAGTCTCTAATACTAGCACACTGTGAGCACCTTTCGAAACATAAGCACAGTCTCTATTATTAGCACGGTCTTGGTGGAAATCAATGCTGCATGCATGATATCTAGCATGTATTTCTTCTTGCTCTGTATGGATTGTATTGGTTGAAAAAATATAAGCGCAGTCTCCAATATAAGCGCGGTCTCCAATATAAGCACGGGGTAGAGGGGTGTTGAAAAAATATAAGCACGGCGCTTATATTAGAGAATATACGGTATGCTGTAGTAGTGGTGTACTTAGTGAAATGACTATGTGTACATCTAATGACGCCGCCACTCCACGCCAGAAGACAACAAACATCTGCTGAACATTTTTGCTCCCGTCTCTTATGGGCAACACAGGGAATGAAACGAACAATGCAATTGAGAACAAGAGTCGTCCTGTACGGTGAAGTTTCCATTTTCTCATACAGCAGTATATTGTCTAAGCAAGTGTGTTTTCTCCACATTCTTTTTGCCATGCAGGTATATCACAGTGTCCTGCCAAACTACATTCTCAAACGCATTCGTTTCTCAATTCTGGGGATGATTGGACACGCACATCTCGCAGCTCTTGACGACGTCAATGTCAACCGTCGCCACAGCACAACCAAAAAGACCGCGATAGGAAGGTATAAAGTCCAGTTCTCAAAGCATAAAGAAGACTGTGGCCAAATAGAAAATTATACGACAGAAAGAGCTATGAGTATGTTGACAAGCTCATGTGTGAGGTGGTAGCGGTTGCAAATGGCAACCTCAATGTTCCTGCCTTGGAGAAGCGTGTTTCCCTGCCAAATTCCAGGTAGAAGCCTCCTGAGAAGGCTGAGGTGGTGCAGGATTTGGATATCTTTGCCTGATGGTATTCACAACGCAGGCTGGAAGACGACAACGAACGTGCTTGCCCAATTTGCCGTGTACATTGTGTGTACTGCCTGTGTGCCGCATAGCGTAGAGATCTACACAAACACAGAATGTCATATGGAATGTGTATGATGAGTGCTTGTACACATACCACATTGCTGTACCGTAATAATTATTATAGTCAAATACTCATTTACTCTACATATGCGCTGTATTGCACCTACCGGTACCTACCTGCACTTTCAGTGCGCGCGCCATACTAATTTAGTGTCCACTGGTACAAAGATGGAGGGTCTTGTAGAATTTACCATAATTGCTGATTTCAAATTGAATTCCAATGATCTGGGGGCTGAATACTGATTAGGACGCGTTCGATTACCTACTAGTACAGAGATGTCTTGGTCAGAAAGTGCAGATTTCTTACTCTCCTGCCAGAATTTGTGCATTATTTTGGTGTACGCTTTCTTGACCCCACGCTTGTACGTTGCATGCCATGGTATACTAGAGAACGAGTTTATTGACAAAGTCTTATCGCTTGAAACGATAAAGTATGGGTTCGGGTGTGATCAAATGCACCCATGGTGCTCATAAACTGTGTGCAGTGCTCTCTTCACCAACAGAACACTACCTACCATACTTTGCAGATCGTGTACCAATCCAAGGGAAAATGACAAAGACAAACGTGAGTCATGCATGAAAACTTGTGATAGCACTATAGTACAGAACAACGTTGTTCGTGCTATGCCTGACAACAATAAGTTACACACAAAAACATTACGGCCATCGATCCTCACAAGATAAGTCAAGACATACTCGGAGCAAAGAGAAATTTGTTTGTGTCATGCATGAAACTTGTGATAACTACCAGTACAATGTCTTTCTTGTGCGACGCCTACTGTAGTGCGCCTGACAACAATAAATTTCCCCCCAAAAATAAGAATAAGTGTATCATGCTGATACGCGATCCTCACAAGACAAGTCAAGGCAAACTAATTGAGGCTTACCTAATGTCAGACTCTTCTGTCACTGGCATTGGCGGCTTCTGCATGTCGAGATAACCTCGAAGAGCAGTGATGGGCACAGCCTAATGCAAGGATACGATCTCGTAATCTGCGAGGTCCGCTACGCAAGAAACCTTGGGCCGTCTTGTCGACAGCGACGGCAGCATCCTTCCAGCAAAATCATTCCCGCGGGCTGGGCATGGCTATACACTTTTGTCCACGCTCGCACCAGTCGGAGTCCCAAACGAATCGAGATTCTGGTGGCCAAGCTACTCGTCTTCTGTCGGACGCAGCTGCTGAAGCATCTTCTTCCTCAACATTTGTTACACGCGATGGCAGCTCCTCAGCAGAGTATCTGGGCTCCCTGCCCCAACCATACGCGGCGGTGGGCTGTTGGTCGTCCTCACTGGCCTCAGCATCGCTGCCTTCATTGCTGGGGACAGAGGATTGTTCGGAATCGCCCATCTTCCCTTGAAATACCAACTAAAATTAGTGCTTGTAGATTGGCGAAGAGAAACGACTTTGCCACAATGACGTAGGCAGCCCGTGATGATGTAACCAAATGGCCGCATGACGTCAGGGCGCGGCCCCCGTTTTTGCAATTTCAAAGTGAAATATCTCAAGAACGCTTCGTCATAGAGGCTTCGGACCAAGACCATTCGACTCAGCGCCCGAAACTCTACAGGCTATCAAAGTTTCATTTTTTCGTGGAGTTCCCCTTTAATTGAGAATCTCTTCAAGCTGGACGCTGAGCAGACAGTGGAGTACTCCAGCGGAGGCCGGACCTATCGGATCTTAGCTGTAGCCAGCGCTGGATGCGGGAAAACGTTCATCTTCACAAAGGTTGCTCCGCTTAAAAGTGGGCCCGCAATGAGATGTGGACTTCATTCGACCTGCTCGTGGCGCGCAAGCTACGGAATGAGGAGGTGAGAAAGGCTACCAGCATCTGCTCTCTGCTTGGTGTTGAAGAGTTAGGAGAGTTCACGAGCGAGGAGCGTAAGAGCATCGACGAGTTTGTGCGCCAGCAGCCTCATCGAGTGTGCGTCGTAGTTGACGGGCTTGATGAGGTCCGCCTGAGAGAGTGCAGTGGCTTCGTTCGCGAAATCATCAACGGTTCAAAAGTGAAGGGGCGCCGGGCTCCGTCTGGTGGTGACGTCACGACCATGTGCGGAACTGGTGAGTCTGAGTGAAAAGAAGCAGTTCGACAATCGTGTGGAGCTTGTCGGTTGAGAAGTGATACCTGAGGCTTGTCAGCAAAGGAGTGACAAGAGTCATGCAGTGCGTGTACGTGTAGACGTGATTAGAGGTCAGTACTCAGTGTCAGTAGATGTAGATGTACATGTAGTAGTCAGCTACATGTATACAGTTCAGTACGAGTACTAGCAAGGCAGGGAAACTACAACCCTACAATAGCTGTCAAAAGGTAAAAAGCCACAATGGTCCGTATGGATGCAGCACGAGGAAAATGGAATTTTCCAGCGATAGACTAGTAGTACAGTCCACTCTCACGTGAGTCACGGTAACCATGTACACATAGAGGCGGCCATTTTTTTGTTGGTTGCCATGACAACGGTCGCATAATTTTCGCGAATTGGGTTGATTTTTTCAATTTTTAGAATTTTTTTAATTTCTTCTTATATTCCTGAAAATCTTGCTGAATTTATGGAATGCATAATGCCCCAACAAGACTGCATTTTGCATCCGCAACTTGGCAAAAATATTTCGAAAAATGTGGACAACCCTAATAATCAGGCCATCAGGACCGTTTGACGTCATTTCGGGAGTTTCAGGACCGTTTGACGTCATTTCGGGAATGTTAGGACCGTTTGACGTCATCTCGGGAATAATTTTTCGACCTTTCGACCTTTGACCTTCCCTAATATGTTGCTTCGCGCTGTAAGAAATCAAATCAAGCACGCTCTGTCTGTCATGATGGCTGAATCTTGCCCTTGCCTGCAGCCCTCGGGCCTACGGCCCTTGGGCTGCAGGCTCGGGCAAGATTCAGCCATCATGACCTCCTGAGCGTGCTTGATTACATACATTCATTTTACTTCAAAAAGTGTGCGGAGCAAAGCCATTCAAATAGTAAAAATAATAAGAACTGTTTATGGTGATGGGTCCGGGTAGTAACCCTGGACTGTGACTTTTCGACTGTCCTTGGCCAATGTCAAGTCAGTACAATCATGTAGTTTGACTCAATGGTCATCTGTATGACATCAACAAACTGAAGGTAGCGGTAGCGGTGTGAACAAGCCACATGTCGTGATCGAGAAAACATCCTGGCGGATCACTCAACACGGCAAGTCGAAAACACACACGAACTAAACCACTGGCACTGCTTTATGACTGTGTTTCGCCGACCGGTCGATCAGACCTAACAAGGTAGAAACAGTGTTGTAGATGTCCGGAGAGTGTGTCTGAGTGAGTGTGAATCATGGTGAGTTTTAGCATTGCAAGGCGTGGGGGTGCTTTCACACTTTGATCTTGTACGCCTTGCTTGCGACTTGCGTGCATGCGTGTCGGTTCTCGCCTGCTCATTGGCTCATTTGCTAAGACTTACAGTTGGCGCTCTAATTATTACTTCTTGGACCGTGATGCATTCTTGGATATAGTCGTGTTTCTACTCCTGGTGCTCGGGACCTCCAAGGCACCTGAGTCATGTTACCCGCTGGGCTACTTCGGAGTAGTTTGTTACTTGGTAAGTTGTATAATGATGATTGTGCTTGCTGTGCGTCCATTGTCTGTGTGGACTGGTAAATACTGAGAAGTATGCATAGTGCCAACATTATTGTTACATTTGGCGGCAGCGGTGGGATGCTGTGCTGGCGGCGTGTAGTGCCCTTCCTGTTAGCAAGACTGTAGCATCGGCAGTTTCGTCGCCACGCTACCCAGCTGAAATGCCATACCGGTGGGAGAACAGTTCAGACGGCTTACGGCTGTACAGAGTGCGAAAAGCTGGACGCGGAAGCGTTCCCGGCAATGGCTTTGCCAGAGGTGCGGTGTTCGACGCTTTCGGGAAAGTTATCACGGCAAGGCAAAGTCATTTGTTCTCCTTGTGTTTCCATCTACTTTGTGTTTTGATAAAGATATTGAAACACGACAGTCATGGGCGACGAGTTGTCGAGGCTAGTACGGTCGAGGTCTCATTAGCCCCTCGCCCGAAGACGCCCATTCGGACTTCTCAAGGGTCGTCTACGGGCTGAGTGCGGCGAGTGTTCGGCAAACATCAATCCAGTCGCATCCGGCCGACAGTTTCCGCGCTGCCCGTAGCAGCGACTCCCCTTTTACTAGCGTGAGCACTCACCCGGTCATTGACATCGGTCCAGCGCCGGCACAAGGAGAGCGCCACCCACCGTGGTAGTGCCAGCGTCAGCAGATACCTGTGCGACTGGTACCGCACCCACTCACTCACTGCACTCAGCGGACGAAATACGCATGAGGTTTCCGAGCAGCGACTAACGAAGACGGCTGACAGGAACCCTGTCAATACTGGGAAGCATAGAGGCTCAGGCAGAAGGCACCACCTTGTCCGTGTCACGTGGCACAGGTAAGAACCTGTTCTGTGTATACACACTCTCTCTCTTTATCTGTCTCGTCTTACTCTTTTTTTTCTTTGCCAGCTTTCCTGGCGGTTATGTGCTTTTCAAGAAAATAAAAAACAAAACAAAAAAACATGACTAGTACAGTAAAGTATCGCCAGAGCGGCCCGTCTCGCGAGAACGCCCCACCTTGATTTTCCAGCCAGGGAAAGGAAAATCGTATGGCAGAGTGCAACGAAGTGTGTACGATGTAAGAAGCTTACTGTACTAAGGACGTAAGGTCACACTTGGCAGGTTTTTGTGTGGAGCTTGTGTCCGCTCGAAGGTACGGATTGACTGCAAAACGTGCTATATGTGTACAAGGTTCATGTCGTATGACCTACAGACAGCAGACCACCTCCACAATACGACCACGAAAGGATGAGATGGTTGGGCGCTCTGGCGGTACTTTACGGTAGTAGTACTGATGGCTAACATTGTCACTCGTCCGATTTTCGGTGCTAACTTTCTAGAAAAGCGTGTAAGAATAGGATAAATTTCCGGTATGGGTTTTTGGGCATTGGCTCATCTAAACAATTTCACAGTTCTTTTGAGACTCAATTAGTCTGACTTTTCCACATCCGTAGGAACTACCTTCATGGGTCAAGTCGCAGGTGCAGCTACTTCGAAGCCCCTCTAAAGCGGTGGTTCATTCTAGATTTGAAGGGGTTGAAGGGAAATGACTACTAGTAGTTTTCGTCTCTAAATAATTATCGGTATTTACGGATGGGGGGGGGGGGGGGGTGATCTTTTTGCGTTTCGCATGCGGATGCAGTTTTTGGCGCTCTGCCCAAACGTGAGATTTTGACTCTTTTCGTAGTTCGGTGAGCCTTTGGCTCCCGTGGACCCACGGAAACGAAGATGAATGCTGAGATAGACCTCGCCCTGCTGGGCTTTGACAGGCTGAGAGAGCTGGGACGGCAACAGGGTATTGTTGGATGCGATGGCCTCGCAAGACCGGAACTGGTCTGTGCGCTGCGGGACGCTGGAATTGGATCTCACTGGACCTGTAGTAGTAAGTCGCAGTCTGACACTCTAACTAGCCTAGTAGACCAGGTCACTTGCCTCACCAAGGAGCTATCCTTGATAACATCAATGAAGGCCGAAATACTTACATTGAAGGCAGATTTGGCCGATCTACGTGCATTGTCTGTACCCCATGACAGTTTGCAGAGCTACCACCCTGCTGGAGCTCTTTTGAAACCAACCTTGCCTGCTGTAACCGTACAACCCCAGAACCTACGCACATCACCAAATGCAACCCAGATTGAAACCAGGCCCGCCAAAAACGGCACCTATCATCCTCCAGCACTGTACAGCACCACCGTACAGGCTGGGCACCAGGGACCAAATAAGGCACACGACACACGTAATGAGACCACCGTTCCCTCGACACGAGTCACATCGTACTACGAGAATCGCCCAAAGCCCTCGGAACAGCTGTCAGGAGGGTCCCGCACGAAGTGTTGCGCACTATATTTGGGCAACGTAAAGAGTGGATGCTCCTCTGACTCGATTGCCAAGTGGTGTACAAGACGAGAAATACAAGTGATCAAGTGTTCAGTCTCCGAAACCAAGTACTTTGGAGTGGCATTCGCCCACGTCGTCATTCCAGCGGAACACAAGGAAGCAGCCCTCGGTCCAGATTTCTGGCCTCCAGAGGTCACTGCAAGAGAATGGCGCTTTAAGCAGGACAGGATCACCTCTGACCACGCTTCAAATCCGCAAACATGTCTACTCTAAATCCACTCGCACCACCCTTCACCCCCAGATCACATCCTTCATCCTTCTCAGTGCTCTCACTTAACTGCCGCTCCATAGTAAATAAGTTAGCTGAGCTTAGTCAAGTCTGTGAGCAGTATTCTCCAGACATAATCTGCCTATGTGAAACGTGGCTGACAGCTGCCATAGACGTCTCAATTCCAGGCTACACGTCATACCGCCTGGACCGCCCACCCACGACCAGCTCTGATAACCTGCCAGCAAGAGGCTATGGCGGTGTTGCTA